AACACCGATATAACCTATCAAAATCTCTGGGACACTGTGAAGACAGTGCTAAGAGGGAAGTTCACTGCATTGAGCTCCTTCATTAAAAAGAATAAAAAGTCAACAAATAAATGACCTAACATTGCATCTCAAAGCCCTAGAAAAAGAAGAACAAATCAACACCAAAAGTAGTAGAAGACAGAAAATGATTAAAATCAGCTGAAATCAATAAAATTGAAACAAAGGAAATAATTCAAAAAATTGACAAAACAAAAAGGGTGGTTCTTTGAAAAATATAAATAAAATTGATAAACCCTTAGCTATGCTAAGGAAGAGAAGGAGAGAGAAAACTCAAATTACTGAAATTTGTGATGGGAAATAAAATATCACGATGGACACTATTGAAATACAGAAGACACTTAGAAACTATTTTAAAGATTTATACTCCAATAAAATAGAAAATCTCGATGACACCAACAAATTTCTAGAAAACATGATCTACCCAAACTGAATCACAATTTAAAACAGATCAATTTCAAGCAAGGAAATAGAAGACGCCATCGAAGCCTACCAACCAAGAAAAGCCCAGGATCTGATGGATTCTCTGCCAAGTTCTACCAGACCTTCAAAGAAGAACTAATACCAATATTATTCAAAATATTCCATGAAATAGAAAAGAAGATAACCCTTCCAAACACATTCTATGAAGCTAGCATCACCCTGATACCAAAACCAGACAATGACACATCAAAGAGGAAAAATAAAAATAAAAACCTTCAGACCAATATCCCCGATGATAGATGCAAAACTTCTCAATAAAATCCTGGCCAATCACATACAAAAACATATTAAAAATATAGTGTACCATGATCAAGTGGGATTCACCCCAGGGATGCAAGATTGTCGGCGATCAATAAATGTGTTACATCACATCAATAGACTTAAAGACAAGAATCATATGGTTATCTCAGTAGACACTCAAAAGGCATTTGATAAAATACAGCACCTCTTCATGTTCAAAACACTAGAAAAACTAGGAATAGTAGGATCATACCTCAACATTGTAAAAGCTATCGATGCTAAGCCCAAGGCCAATATCATTCTAAACAGAGAATAATTGGAAGCATTCCCTCTAAAAACTGGAACAAGACTGGAATGTCCTCTTTCACCACTTCTGTTCAACAAAGTCCTTGAAATTCTAGCCAGAGCAATCAGACAGACAAAAGAAATTAAAGGGATACACATAGGAAAAGAAGAACTCCAAATGTCACTGTTTTCCGAGGACATGATTCTGTATTTAGAAGAAATTCCACCAGAAAATTTCTAGAACTAAAAAATGAATTCAGCAAAGTCATAGGATATAAAATCAATTTTCTCTCTTTTTTTTTAAAGAGACAAGTGAGAGAAGAGTGAGAGAGGGGAGAGAGGGGGGAGAGAGAGAGAGAGAGAATTTTTAATATTTATTTTTTAGTTCTCGGTGAACACAACATCTTTGTTGGTGTGTGGTGCTGAGGATCGAACCCCGGGCCGCACGCATGCCAGGTGAGCGCGCTACCGCTTGAGCCACATCCCCAGCCCAGGATATAAAATCAATACACATAAATCAAATGCATTTTTATATATATGTGATGAATCCACTGAAAGAGAAATTAGGAAAACTATGCCACTCAAAACATCTTCAAAAATATAAAATACTTGGGAATCAATCTAACAAAAGAGGTGAAAGACCTCTACAATGAAAAGCACAGAACACTCAAGAAGGAAATTGAAGAAGACCTTAGAAGATGGAAAGATCTCCCGTGCTCTTGGATAGGCAGAGTTAATGGCCATAGTGCCAAAAGAGTTATGCAGATTTAATGCAATTGCTATTAAAATCCCACTGACATTCTTCATAGAAGTAAAAAAATCGATCATGAAATCATTTGGAAAAATAAGAGACCCAGAACAGCCAAAGCAATCTCTACCAAAAAAGTGAAGCAGGAGACACCACAATACCAGACCTTAAACTACACTACAGAGCGATAGGAACAAAAGCAGCATGATATTGGCACCAAAACAGACAAGAAGACCAATGGAACAGAACAGAAGAGGCAGAGACCAACCCGCATAAATGGTTATCTCATACTAGACAAAGGTGCCAGAAACACACATTGGAGAGAGGACAGCCTCTT